AGGAACACTCATTCCGAGACGTAAGTATTTACCGTTGACGCACGACTTTGCCCATCTGACGAATTTCACCGTAGCGAGAACGGCGTTACGAACCCAGAGAACGACAGAGAATAGCCGCTATCGAGCGCACCATGGCACGGGACCGCGTGGTTTCCGAGTCGGAAGACCGAGATCGGGCAGCAATGAAAACCAGTCTGGAGGCTTGGGACGATGACGAGTCGGATGAGCTGTTCTATATCGACCGCGCTAGGTGGCGAGCACAGAGAGTGAAAGTGTTGGCCACCGAGGTGGCTGCGGACGCAAACTCTCGGAAGATCGAAGAGCGGGAAGCGGAGCATCTACGTCAAGAGTCAGAGCGATTCCTCGCCCGCCAAATGGATGACCTTCGATCTCTCGCAGAAGAGCAGCGCAAGGCGGGCATGTTACTTGTCGGGGAGGAGTCGGGTCCACTGAGGCTGAATATGAGCATGGGACTCGGAGCGGAAGCTTCGAAAGAATCCTCAAAAGAGGCCACCGCTGTTGCTGCTCCTGCGACCGCCGTACCTGAAAAGCGTTTGGCTCCGGCAGTCTTTGGCGATGTAGACGACGAAGAAGAGACCTTGGGACGGAAGAGACGCAAAGGTCTCGTCAAGCTCGACTTTGGACTTGCGGACGGTGCCGAGGCTAGCAAGGAGCGACTGAATAAACTCAAAGAAGGCATTAGCCGCGACAAAGATATCCTCTTCAAGTTCAAGGTCCGATGGGAAGCCTTGAATGACGTGAGTGATGCTATTATCTATCTGTGAAGCTTTGCTTATCTGACAACACTTCCTCAGAATCTCATTGACAGCAAGTTTGAACAAATCACAAAACGAAAGATGAAGGACTATCTCGGCGATCTCGAGGACGACGATTTGATCATGTTCGTCGTTGAGCATCTTAAGGACCACAAACCTCCTCAGAAGCTCCTGGAAGGGCTAGAGTCGGTGAGTACCAAGCGTCGGCACCTACTAACTGATCCATGCCTGCGTGATGATATTGGGTTAATCTTGCTGACGGTTCTTCACTTCAGGTCCTGATGGAGGAAGCCGAGGAGTTCGTCGTTCTCCTCTGGCGTCAAGTTGTGTTCGAGAGTGTTGCATATGCGGAGGGGTTAGAGACAGGAGACATCGTGTTGGCTTGATGAGTCCCGAGTCCTGGCGCTGCTTTGGCAAGCACTTCCGACATTCTTTACTGTCTGCGTCATAGGATGCGGTCGGTGTGGTTTCCAGCCTCTCCACCTTCAGCAATACTTCCACGCCTCGAGATTTGTACTTTACTTAACTCTTTGGGGCTTTGTGCAAGTGAGTACCCCCGTCGATTAGTAGCGTTTGCTTAATTTCCAGTGATTTTGCAACGAGCCGCACCGGTGTTCCCGGTGAGTGATCATACGCCAATCCGATCCTTGCATTCACTTTCCGAGACCATTTCGCCCAAAACACCCGTCTGAATAACTAACACACAACCAATCGTCACTCGGTGAGTAGTCGGGTTTCATTGCTGGGTATCTGATTCTAGTTCGCCCCACCACTCGCCACGTACATTACAAATCCAATATGAGAAACCTTTCACTGGTCCATGCGCACGACAGAAAATCCTCGTTACTTTCCTCTATGCGAAGTGAAAGGGAGACTGCCCTTCATCTCATTACATAATGACACAACAAGAGTTTTGCTGATTTAGACAGGGCCTGTTAGCGCGGACGCAGCAATGTAACCGAGCGAGACCAGCTTACCTTCTTCGCAGTCTTATAAAACATCTTGCTCTGTGCACTCAGGGCATTGGACCGATCTACCAGATTATCCAGCTTTTCTCCTCGCTCCAAGACGGACTCGATTGTCTTGTGCTGCGTACAGTAGGACGTTCAGCTGCGGATACTGTGTGGTGCTGGGGATGGTAGCCTCACCAGAATGATCTTTGTCTCATCGAGTTCCGCTTGCACCTTCATAATATTATCTGCTTGTTTAGGGTCTTGATACTTCGATAGATACTGCGCTGTCGCAGGGAATGAGACGGCCGATGGATCGGACCAACTCGATTCTGGCACTGCCGTAGCAAACTCATCGAGAATCTTTGACAGTAGAGAGAATGCTGGGCGAACTGGATAGTCCTGGTCGGTAATCATGACAGCTTCAGTACGTTGGGAATAGGATCAACTTGTTAGCCATGACGAAAGGAACCCCTGAACGGGATGCAGATACTCACAGACTAATTGCTTGTCCCCACCCCTGTTATATGCATGCGCCACATAATTACCCTCCTGGACGCTCTGCCTCTGGCCAGGCGCGGTGCGTTCTGCGACTGTCTTGGACATGAACGTCATGAATTCACCAACGCTGCCCTTCTGGTAGAATGAGAATGATGAAAGCTCGTGCTCTGAGGAAAGTGTCACGCTCTGCCCAGAAGGGCCGATATGAAGGATCGCAAGCGACAGGACCTTGACCATGGCGAAATGTAGTTGAGTGGTGTTGGTTAAAGTCGGGCGACGAAGCGGCTGTGGAAGTGATTGTTGGTTGAGACCAGAACGTAGACAAATAAGCACAGGTCCAGCGATTACTCTTTAAAGAATCTCTCCCTTGTCTCTTTCCACCACTTTGCCAAGATGACAATCGCGCCCGACTCTCCAGCTCATTTACTTGCAAAACTCCTAAAAAGCTCTATCTCTACTGCCGAGAAAGCGGCCGTCCTCCAAAAAATCGGCCCTATATTCAGCTTCGCCCAGCTGCCTGAGCCCGGTGATGACCCGAATTGGGAGGCATTCCGAGACGCTGAGGTCTTCGACTCTTTGCTCTTACTCGTCTCGGATATATATGCGAATCATGTACGTCCGCTGCCTTTACGCCCCGAACTACTGGCATTCACTTGGCGCCTCGATCCCAGGGCGTAGCAATTAGCCCACTGCTGGTGGTGGTGCTGACGCACCTCCAAAACCTCTTTATAAATCCCCCAATGGCCAAATTGATATCTTCTCATCCTCGGATGAAGGCCGCTCTCTTGAATCACATGCCTCACGTCGTCGCCACGGCCCACCGTGCCTCGCCGACCGCCCGCAGTTCAGAGGATACCCAACTAGCCTCAATTCGAATGTCCACCCTTATTGTTATTGGTGCGCTCTTGAAGACAGAGGCGTTCAAAGACGACGAAGAGTTGTGAGTAATCTATTGCAGATTCCTCCCTTGCACCATGCGTGGAAGTCAAAGTTTTCTATCTAACTTTTCTGGATTTTAATCTAGCCTACGCTCTTTGGACAGAGAGAAGGTTCTATCGGTTCTGTTGGAAACATACATCACCTCACAACCAATACCAGATGCGATTCAGCTGGGTTACGGCACCACCATCCTATCTTCCTACCTCAGAGACGGAGTCTTCGACAACACAGCAATAGAGGGAATCCTCGAGCACCACACAACCGAAGATGTTGCTCGGCGTTGCCTTGAGCTGTTCGCAAGCGACACTCTCAGCGTAGACCCGATGTCATTTGGGCCCATCCACATTATGCTCTGTGCAAATCACTCTCCCAAAATGCACCGCCCTCTGATCGAGGCTGGAGCACACAAGCTCACAATTGAGAGGTACTGGAGATGGATTGCTTCGAAGAAGCGGAATGAGGAAGATATGTGCTCGTCTGCCAGAGACATGGCCACCGCAATCAATTCGTGAGTGCATGAGTATTGCCTAGCGATGCAGGCTAACCCCACGACCTTAATGAAGGCTCCTTCGCTCCCTCGAGGGAAAGGAGTATACCGACCTTAAAAATCGTGTGGTCAAGGAAATGGATCCAACAGAGCTTATGCTTCTTCTTGGGCGAACCCTACTCGGCAAAACGTCGTTCGAGTCCACCTGTTCGTCTCTTTACTTCACGGCAGAGGCATCGAATCTGATTTAGTCTCTTGCCAGCCGGCGACGTTCTTTCTATTGGTCGATGCATCGCCGATGCATTATCGAACGACAGGAAATTCATGGACTCCGACATGAAGACCGCCTACATGCACTGTTGCAAGTGTCTCGACGATTTCATGTACTCGGCACCACATAAGGACGAAAACAGGGGGAAATCTCCGTCGTACGAGCCGGACAAGGAGCAACCCGATTTCACACCTGCAATCCAAGGTTGGAAAGAGTTCGGGAAACTACTGGGATTCGATAGAGAGAAAATTCTAGCTGAGGAGGCCGAGCGGCGGAAAGCCGAAATGCAGGGTATAGAGGGGTGTAGCTGGTTTAAGTGTTGCCTCTTTCGTGACACGAAGATAGCACCTCTAAGAGAGATGATGCGGTGCTCTGCGTGCAAGTCTGTAAGTACGGCGCATTGCGTCCATCCGTCAGATCAGGGATGTCTGACTTGGGTATTCTAGGTGCAGTATTGCGGTAAGCGCTGCCAGAAGCTGTGAGTTGTCCTGTGAGGGGCTTTCCGGTGACTTTATTGACTGGGATCTCGGCAGCGATTGGGAGGACGGAGGACACAAGGGGAAATGTACCAAGCGAAAGAAGTAATGATCATAGGAGGGGGGTGGAGTGGGCGGAGTGTTAACTCAGGGGAAGGAGCGGACCTAAACCTGTAGCCGAGGGTTAGGATTGTTTGCAAAACGGAAAGCAAGGGAAATCGCCAAAGAAGGGATGCCTTTGAATACCATTTGTCCTATCCCACATTCGTAGCATCGCTGTAAATATTAAACATCAAGCCAACAGAGGAACCTCGGCGTAGCCACATGACTTGATCGATTTTCGAGCCGTAGAAACAGCTTTGCCTTAGAGGGTGTCGAACGAACCAGAAAACGTTGCCTCGGCCAGAGTTGTTGCTACGTAAAAGATGGTCATGTCCGCGCCTCCTGTTGCCCCAAACGTGCTCGAGTCATTCTCCCGCGAAAGAAAATGAAAAGACTTGGCCCGGGTGGGACTCAAACCCATGACTTGCACGCGCCTCCTTGTCCTGTTGGCCCAAACGTAGCTCGAGTCATTCTCCAGTGAAAAGAAGCAAAAAGAATTGGCCCGTATGGGGCTCGAACCCATGACTTTGGAGTAGCGGATATGGGTTCGACACCTCAATCCTATTAGCTCCACACGCTAACCAACTGCGTCAACCGGCCTCGGATGGTAAGAGGCTTGCGTGATCTAATATAGCTCGTAAGTTGAGGGATATGATCTTGACTCCTCATCCTAATGCACCAATCCTTTAGTCAACCTCTTTTTTCGTTGACCGGAGGCTGTTTAGTGCGCCCGGGCCAAGCACAAGCTGAAAATAGGTTTCTCGCTACTGCCGACGCTCGGCGGACGGTCCAAAACACGCCAAGCGGCTCAAAACTGCCAACCACGGAGGTGGACCGTGTCTCGGTTTCCTGTAAGCTTGGCCTAATATGCTCAGGCGCCTTAGCGCGCTGCCGACCAACTCCGTTCTTGTGCTGGTTGGCGACTTCTTTTGTTGTCCCGCGCTTGGACCTTGTCCTTTCGGGCCTGTGCATAGAAGTAACAACCCACTATTCTTTCTCTAGCTCCCAAGTGACTTAATGTGAGCCGCTTGATAAACTCTCCTGTGGTCTTTCTTCTACTGGACATTGTGGATTTTTCTGGTCATTCCTGGCCCGTGGGCCGTAGTCCATACCACGAAACTCGGCACGACCGACCCGGCATTGGTATGAGACGAACCACGTCATCATTGCTACGTTATCGTACCCAAGATCGACTGATAAGTTTACCAAGAAAATAGATCAGGGTGTGAATTCCAGCATCGCCGTGCCTGAGAATGTATCGGTCAAGCTGGTCGACTGCATGAAGACCTGCGATCGACAGTCGCGCGGCCCCCCCCCCCTTCTAACACCACCTCTCGATCTGCACGAAAGCACTCAGTTAGATCGCTTCAGGTGTAAAGTAACATCCTCTTCACCGCATGGCTCCAAGCAAGGTGCTCGTATCGAGGAGGCTTGGATATGCCCCAGGGGCTTAATTTACATTGTCATTTTGATGAAGCCATCCGATGTTGGAATTATCTTTCTCGATCCTTGTGGGAATATCTCCCAATAGTACCCTAAATCGCTATGCTGCTCGGGTATCCGCATCGCTTTGCTGTGTGGGAGCGGTGGCTTTTGGTACAGCGGAGCCGAGCAGCCTGAGCGTGTGGAGAACCACGAAACGGGATTCGGAAAGTTTGGTCATATCGTCCATACATTCAAGATGTTGTGTACATATTTGAAAGGTCCCGATAGCTTGGATCTAAGGATAGAATTGGGTAATGCATCAAGGGAAATGCGCTGACTGAAAACTCCCTCCGAGTTGGCCCAACTTGGTAAAGCACTTGGAACACCGTACATATGGTACAAAAGCACATGCAAAAAGTGCCAAAGCATCTAGCCTGTTCAGTTCGGGATCAAGTCCCCAAAGAAAGGTATCGGTGGGGATGAGGTGGTTGAATCATGTACTTCAGCTCGGGATAATTCGACTTCGAGTTATAAACGATCGATCTTAAAAGGAAATTTCATAGAACCACAACGCGAATACTTCACTATCTAAACTTGTTTGAATACAGGTGACATCTAGCGGGAATCAAAGATACAAGGTTTCAGATGGCACCAACAAGGAGCGCCATGCCAAATAGCAGCGATCCGAACAAAAGGAGGTCCATAGAAGATAACCGAAATTTGGTCTTGAAAGAGTCGTTCGAAGGCTCCACATAGGACGCGAGATCGTGATCGAGTCAAACGCTTTTCAGCGGAGGCTCCGTGACCTTGGGGTTGGCGTAGAGCTTATGATCGTAAATATATTGGATCACAGAATTGGGCAAGAGGAACCTGGGGTAGGAGAGAAATCAGAACAAAGTTCAATTGGAAGGTTGAATCGAAAGCACATACTTGATGCTCATCCCACGCTTAACGAAGAGGCGAACCTTGGTAGAAGAAATATCGTTATAAATCAACTGTTTGACCACAATAACATTTTTCCTATCAGACATTACAAAAAAGCGTCAGCATATCGACGGATTGGATCTGCTGGAGCAGCACGAACCTGTGTTGATACAAAATATCGTGTGAGAGCAAGAACGCCCAAACGTCTGCGCCAGTCCTCTCTATGATGAGGCAACCGAAGCGGCCAAGAATGATGTGAAGCTGCGTATAAGACGGAGTAAGTTGCTGGTCGCGCCACCTGGCTCGCAAATACGCACATCGGGCTCGGACCAGACACCAGGCTCGCCAAAGGATTCAATCAGATCACCGCCAGCAAGGAGGACAATCTTAATCCTTTTCTTGGTTCCTATATAGTTGGAACGCTCAGTATCCGGTAAGCACAAACACGAGCTGGTCCATACCATCTTGAAGGGCGATTCCACCGGCACCGTTGAGATGCTCGTCAAAATGCTCAAGCACCAAGGCGGTTCGCGTGTAATCAGGCTGAGATGCCTCCCACGGATCAACCATAAGCCAGGACGACGTCTGGTCCACTGCAAGTTCGCACATGCGAACGCGGTGAATGGCGGGAGCCAGGCCGGACTTCTTGTAAGTATCCGAGCTGCGGGATCAGAACGCGGATAAGGTAAAGGCACTCCGGCACATCTGATGAGCCTGACATACACAGGAGAATAGTATCCACCCAAAATCTCGAACTTCTCCTCGGCGTCAACGGCATCCTTGGCCATCTCAAACATACGGCTTAGGGAGAACCGAAGACGTAAGTACCCACACGAGTAAGCATGCCGAATCGGCGGTGGAGACCCTTACAGGTGGAGGTACGTCGGGGGAGAGAACGACCCGCATGCGACTAGTGGATTTTGTAGAGTCAGTATGATTGGAGCGGTGTGGGCGCTACCCTGAAACTGACCGATAACGAGAGGAATTTTGGACTCGTCTGGCGTAGGAGGGGGCACATGCAGGTCAGTTATTGATCCGCTATTCGGGCAATGTTGATATCTGCGAATAACAAACCTTGCATCTGAGTGGCGAGACGATGGCGAGGGAAGTTGTACTGGGAAATATCATGAGTGAGGTTGATAGGAGAGGCAATTCTGGATGGGCGGTCCAAGTCCGTGTACTCGGACATGGGCCTCAAGGACTCTGCAACCGTCGGAGGCGACGGCTTATCCTGGTTGCCGGGAACTGGTGTCGTCGCTGGGGAGCGCCCGGGGGTCATCGCAGGCGATATAATATGCGAGGCCGCGCGAGATAGAACGGGGATGGGTCGTAGCGCGGCCCCGTTACGAACCACACCCGCCAGGCGAGAGGAGCCATTGGGCAGGACGAACTGGTCTTCTTCAGCGTCCAGGTCGAACGCTGGAACAGCGTCGTTGTTGAGGTGGGTAGAGCCTGTGAATGGTGGGCTGTCGTTGTTGTACGACTGAACTGAGAGCGCTTGCATTTGTGGTTGCATGATGAAAACCTTTCTTCAATGAATGTACTTGGGTGTCGAGTATATAGCAGGTGAGGATGGTAGTGGAGCTTGTTTATGGGGGAGTCGCGTGCAGCTACGTACTTGGAGCACGGGCGCGAATTGAAATTTCGACGAGGACTGGGCGGGTTGCTCAAGAGTTTTCTTGCCAGCAAGGTCAGGCTTGGCTTTTATACCTGAGCTGAGGCAGTGAAAACGGCGTCTCAGAGGGGATCTGTGAGCGCTTGGTGGTGGAACAAGAGCAAGGGTCATCCGGATCAGAGGACACTTTATTACCTCTCCGGAACAGGGGCTCTTCGGCCTTTGAAACACTCTAACGAAATTTCTCATCGTCCGAAAGCACGCAATCCCATGTGCTACTCTCCGTGTAAGCCTAAACCCGCGGATTATAAACGAGATGGGGGGTACCAAGGGAACTGTCGAGTATCTTATCAGCTCCAATAAGGAAAATATCAGCCCTTCACAAAGTATATTAAGGTTGGCATGAAGTTCACCGGACCCTCGGCCGTACGAGCGACCACAAGGACTCAACTCTGTCCGTGCGATGAGAACGGTAGGACCGTAAAACCTCGGTCGGTCAGTGTTCGAGACCTTCATATGAAATTGTGCCAGTGAACCAGTTGTTCAACGTCTCCTGAAACCTTCCCTGAGATGATTATCCTCGGTCCGACACCCCACTATTCTCAATCCGTCGCACACCTAGACCGTCGCTCCAGCCATTCATGCCAGGCTGATAAGGCCACCTAAAGCTGTTCTTTGGTATGAAACGCCAGCGTTCAGCCTAGATGCGCGGCTTGGAGATTCGCTCACCCGATTGGGAAATCGCCCGCAAGAGGTTCGCGAGCTCACCCGTAACAAGTGTGCCCGAAAGGCACGTTCTAAGCGGCGAAAGCGGCTTTATTTTATGTTTCAAAGCAAGTGGTTTCGGGGTTGCGGCTCGGTAGTCGGGTCGACACGCGCTTTTGGTGCTCTACATGCCTAAAGGACTTTCGCCTTGGGCACAGGTCGAACTCTCCAGCCGAGCACCAACTGACCGCTAGGTTCCATCGTGGATAATGTCTGGAGATGGTACCCCAATTCTGGCCGCACAGCGTAACTGAATGTTGGGCGTTTTTGGTCAGGCTCTCAGCTCAGCCGCTGGTTCCGCAACCACCGAAGCCTCACCCCGTCCCGTCGGCTCATCGACGCTATGCGTAGTTTTCCTTTCACTTGTGAATCAGGTATTCGAACTGACGGACGATTGTTCGTCCTGAGTGTCAGCGAGTGGCGGCCACAGGATGAGATTTTCGACAACTTCTCCACTGCACGGAGCTAATTGGATCGCGTCTCGTTCGGTAAGCTGGGCACCCATACACAGACAATTCTCAAGAAGGTCCGAGGGGAAAGCCCCCTAGCCCCTGCTGTATTCTGCACGTTCTTTCAAGGGAGTGGTCGGCAAGTCTCTCCACCCAAAAGTCTCATCGCGCAGTTCGCATTCAAATCCCTACCATAAAACCCATGCAATAGGATAGACTTATAAAGTTATTCTGAGCTTGTGAACAGCCATATAACGCCACTACTCTTTCACCACAGGTTTCAGAGTGCCGGCTTCGACGGCGGACCCGAGGCTTCGGGGACCATAGCTCACGTGCCCAGACTCCTTACTGCATTGCACCAACTGTCAAGCCAACGATTCATACCTCATGTCGAGGCGGAGCAAGAGGCATATCCTGGTCAT